CCCCCCCCCCCCCCCGGACAGATTCATCGGCGGCAATTAACACGCCCGAGGTTATTTAGGCGAGTTTTGTTTGGCAATCGATTAATCTCCAATTATGATTTCATTTCGCAATCTGTCGGACACATCTTTTCCGTGCACTTTCTCCGGAGACGTTTCTTGATTCTGCGAAAACTAGAATTGGACAGCTTGTCGTAGAATTAACATTTAAATTGATTGTTAATATTTAAATTCATAATGATTAATGTTGAAATTAGTTATTCGGATTTAAATCAATAATCGACATCGAAGTTGACAATTCGTATTTAAATCGATAATTAATATTGAGATTAATAATTATTGTTGAGATTAATCATCGATATTTGAATTAATAATCGACATTTAAATGATAATTGAATATTATAATGAAATGATAATTTAATATTATAATTCGTATTTAAATTTACCGTAATTCATATTTAAGTTGACAACAATTTATATTTGAATTAATAGCAATTTATATCTAAATTAATCGCAGCACATCGCCGAGTTCGTTCGTACTCTAACCAGAAAACTATCGAAATCACCTCGATCACACTTTACGACACTTTCGAACACCGTCGAAGTAGCAAAACTCCTTAGTCACTCGCCTCGATCTCGTCTGCTTTTACTTCGCCGAACACGATGGTTAATTTCGCAATGCAACAACCGTTCGCAGTCGCCGTTCGTTTTCGATAACGAGACTCGTTCCGTTGATTGAAACTACTTAGAAGACTATCGCGTTCGTTGTAAGTATAGTAACCGCGTTGTACGAGATCGCGCAAGATTTTACGTACATATTCCGTGTACAGAAAAATGCACCGAAGTCGTGTAAAATGGAAGTACATTTAAATCGGAGAAACTATTTGCGATTTAGAGTTTTAAATTATCCTTCGAGCGCGCGAAGGTTTAACCCTTTGCACTCGAAGCTATTTCAACTGTAAATAAATCTTTATATAATCTGTAAATTGTGAAATAATAATAATAATTGTGCATTTATAATCTGTAAAAGTGCATTTTGTGTATATGAAATTGGGTTTTGCGATTCATACAACGGCTTCACTTTTAATGATTTCTTCGATTTAAACTTTCACGATATAAAAATGATCTTGGAACGTGATATAACTATTTCAGTGTCTTTACACTCGAGTGCAAAGGGTTAAAAGTTTCGAAAAGGCTTAAATTCATTAACACCCGATTTACGGAGCACCAAGAGCGCGTCGAAGTAGCACGCCAAGACGTTCGTCGTTCCGATTGTTTCTTTTTTGTAAACATAAACGTTATTGCAACACTTTTTCGCGAGTAACGACAGACGCGTCGAACAAATAAACGTCGTAACGTAACTTATAAAATCAGAACAATCGTACGTTGATACAACTCGCTAATTACCATAGCCGATTCTTAATAAATCGTAAAATCGAATTCCGATCATTTATAATCGTTAAATATACATGTACTCGTTACAATATATACCAGTACGCGTCGGTACTAATTCTTAATAACACAATAAAATAGCAAATTTTTCATAATAACATTCTCGTACAACTAATCTCCGATCATTTATAACAAAGAACAAAGCTACAATCGTGCACGATCAACGAATTTCACCAACAAATAACGAAATCTCGCTGATCGACAATAATTCGGGATCCTGCGGATCCTCGAGTTAGGCTCTCGCGATCGAGCAGAGTATAAGTTACCCGATGTAACCGAGCGGATCGAGATAATTGCGACAGGTTCGCGGTATTGATAACGGTGCCTATACATAGACACAACAAATAAACAAACAATCAGATCGCGGCGTTGGCTGCTCTTCGTTTCGGAAACAACAAAATTGCCGTACATTTATTTCGACTCACCGGAGTGACGACGTGGTGTCGACTCGTTAATATCCCAGAGATTCGGCGACGGTAGAGAATAGAAGAATTAAAAAAAAAAATATATATATATATATATAAATAAATAACTCGGCGTAGTTGCGCACGTAAAAACCGCTACGCGATCGTCCTAGAGAGAGAGGCTCCGAGAATTCTTGCTCGGCGATGCGGTCGACGTGAACGAGAACGCGTGTCGATGATCACTAAGGGGTTGTTATGTGGGCCAGCCACTTTTAAGAACGGCGATCCAACGAAAGGTAGGACTGAGCGCGCCTGGGACCAACCAGAGTTCCTTATACCTGACCGAGCGAGTGGCCGGGACGGGTTCCCCCACCACCGCCCCGGGCCCCGGGCCGATTCTATTGACGCATCTACGCGTCAAGCCCCGCGTCAGGCGAGTGCGACGAGTGCACGCGCACGCACGAACCGCGTCGCGACCACCACAACACACGGTCCGTGCATGATCCTTCGTTGAACCTTGAGACCGGCCACTCTCCGGCCGGTTTTTGTCGCCGGAAAACGAACGGTGACGTGTTACGCGTGTCGTCGCGCCCTTCGGCCATCCTATGGCGCGTGCGCCGACGAGCACCGACGAGATCGAAGAAAGGGCCCGGCCGATTAAGACGGTCAAAATTGCCCTTAGAGGTGTTTTTAACGATCATTATACCGTTCGAACTCATCCATGCACAATTTCAACCCTGCAAAACTTGTCCTTTTTGCCTTGAGGGTAGTTACAGGGTAAATTGGATCTGCGCGCTTTTCAGGGCCGGATTGCCCCTTTCGGGGACTTTTTAAAATTTTGTAAAAAATGTGGCTTGGACGTCGCGATATTCCGATAGCCGCGACAAGTGCAGCGCCCCGCAGAAGCCGTCGAGATCGGCGGTGATTGGAGACGCGCGAAGAAGAGCCTGATTAAAAATCCGTCCACGTTGTGTGTAACTTTATACGCGTTGCACCATCCGTGCAGGGCCCGTCGACGGGTTCGGTTGATTCATTTGGCCGAGAAATACCTTCGCTCGCGGGAAGAATTTCTTCCCGGCGAGAAGCGGGTCCGAGCGAATATCTTGAATCGGCCGTATGAATGGATTATAAACGCGACGACGCCATTCATCCTGTCCACAGCGGAGCTTACTATATATCTCGAAATACTCTTTCGAATTAAATTTGAAACCGGTCACCCACATGACCGGCTCGGTGAGGTCGGTGTTGAACGTCGTAAATGCATAATGATCCGCGGGTCCATTCATCAGCGATACTTTGCACTTTAGACAAGCCCTTCGACTCGATGCAATGATCCCTCTTCCACAGCTCCAACATCCACGAAACGCGAGAATCAAGCTCTCTTTAATGTTATTTTTATTGGTTACAGCTTGCGAACGCGTATTATTTGTATTTCTTTTTTATGCAATTTATTTCAGTCTATTTTCTTCATTCGATTCATTTTCATTTCATTTTCTTTATTCCATTCATTCGATTTGATTTTCTCGATCGAATTTCATTCATTCAGTATATATATATTATTCGTTTCGTCTAATCGATTAAATTTTATTCTTTCTATTTAATTTACTTAATACTTGAATGTTTTTATTTATCTGGAAACGACGCACGAGAAGCCTCAGCAGTATTATTATTTCCGCTGTAATCATCGCAGAAAGAACGAGGAGAGGAAATTGTATGAGTAGACAGATAAGAATAATTACTATACTTCGCTTCTCTCCACTTCGGATGAAAGTACTTTAAAATAGAGAATGTACATTGTGCGTGGGTTTCTGCCACGTGTGTTGCAATCGTCGTTTATGATTGTTCGGACATGCTCGACATCAACCTTGTATCTTATTTGATTTAGACAAGTGAGCGATTTCCATCGGAATTCTTTCGTCATTTCATTTCGAGACGGACGATGTTTTTTTTTATCTCGCATCTCTAATCTCTAATCTACAGCTTGGTGTTTCCACATACGGCGATGTCTCTCTAATTGACGCTCAGATTGTCCACATGCAATGGACAATTTGGGAAGAGTAGATGCGATCGTTCGAGCCTTGCGGTTCGTTTTCATAGTTACGAATTGTCGAGAAATATAAAAAAACGAGCCGCAAGAGGCTCGAACAATCGTATCTCCTCTTCCCAAATTGTCCATTTTCGTGCGCAATCCGAACGCGTCAGTTAGGGAGACATTACTGTAATTCGATAAATATCGTTCGACAAATATTATGGTGGCAATAAAAAATTATGAGAAATATTATGGTGACAATCAAAAATTATGAGAAATATTATGGTGGCGATCAAAAATTATGAGAAATATTATGGTGGCAATCGAAAATTATGAGAAACATTTTGTTTCCGAATATATTGTTACTCACTGACGCATCTAAACAATCGTCTAATGACCACAGTCTTTGTGTGGTCCGTTTCATACAGGACACGCGGTACATCTAATAGTTCAGCATCGAATCGACTTAACGGTAGTGGCAACCCAAGTATCGGATATTCCCAGGCCACGATAAGTAAAGGTAGCAATTGAATTAACATTCGTGCCGAAGCAACACAGTTATAATAAAGCACGGCAGTTATAATAAATAAAAGCAGTTATATATAAATATCAAGCGAACGATTGTACGGAGCAATACAAATATTTAAGATGCGACAAAATTAAATTAAATTTAATTCTATTAATTTCCAATGGAAATCTTCGTCATAAATTTTCAAAGGAAATCTTCTTCGTCGTAAAATGTGTCAACTTTAAAATCTTTAAAATTTCAATGCGAATTTTTATTCTATCGTACGATGTTCGAATAATCTCCGAAAATTCTTCGCTAGCAAGACGGAAACGCTCGGAAATCGGGGATGCACGTATTATAAGCGGCTAGAATTCGTTCATCCTCGAATCACGCTCGCAGTGGCATGCGCTATGCATCCAGTTGGATGCAATGCACTGTTGTGTATAGCTTCCGGTGATTATCGGCGGCCCGATAATTATTACTGCTCCGGCAGATCGCAGCGCGTTTATGAAAAAATGCCGTTTGCGACGAAGCGGGAAACAGGATCGCGTTAAGCAAAACTTAAACAATTCAAAGAGAATGTTTAATGAATCCGTCCTGTACCATTAACACGTCGAGCGTGCCACGTCTTGCAAACATAGTTGACGGAATTACTTGCAAATATTGAAAAATGAATTTTTCTGCTACCTCTGCATAATTCGGCAAAATTGACAGTGATAATACGGGGAAATCAGCCGTCAAAATGACGGAATTCTGAAGACACGAGAACCTTGTTCGATCAATTTATTTCGGAGAAAAATGCAAGGTCCCCTTCGAAGTGTTGTAACTTCGCGAAAAAAAATCGCAGCCGCGTCTCTCTTGTTTTAAATCGAAGCGGAAAGATCGAGCTTCGTTCTGCTGGAAACGGCATGCCGGAAAAAAATTTTACGGAGTCCGCGCGTTTCTTCGAACTCGGCGATTTTCGGTACGGCCTCGCAATTAAAGGGTTGCAGAGGCGAGCGTGCAACGATCAACGTTATCGAATAAATTGAAATCAAGATACATCGTCTTAAAGTAGAAGTTTCGAGCTTCAATTTAAAAAAATAGTCATCGTCCTACGACGATTTTTCGCGGAGTTGTCGACGGTCAAAGTTGTACGATATTTCTCGAAAATTTGTCTGTGGTATAATTTCGTCGAGCGGCCGAGAAAAAATAATAAGAAACGGCCGGTTTTATTTAGCCACTTACGCTGTCCAATGTCTGTATTTTGTCACGATCGCGGTGAGGAAACATTGGCAATCAATTAGCGATGTTTTCCCAGCGGAAACACGAAGAAGCGAGGCGCGCACCGTCATAGGACCCGAGACTTTTCAGAAATTTTCGCGCCGGGATGCTGTGAATACGTTTCGACGCATACTCGGGGAATTCGAGAAACATAGCACACACACGTGGTACCGCGAACCCACGATGACGTGTCGGAAATCGCGTGCACATATAGCGAAGTCATCGGAGACAATGTAAACAAGCCGATCACCGGCTGCTAATGAACATCTAATTTTCGTACGGTGAGCGATTAGGCTGCCGAAGCATCGCGGTGCGGAGATGTTCTCCCGGTGAAAGCGAACCCAACGCGAATACTATTTCAAACGGCACCGAATCGTCGATTTGCACCCCGCGACCCTTGTGGCGCCCTAAAAAAGCCGGGAGTCGTTCGAATGAAGTTTTATTCGTGTCACGAGTTGAACAAATTCGTCGGATAAAATGCTGTTCGAACAACGAGTTGGATAGATTCGTCGGATAAAATGCTGTTCGAACAACGAGTTGGATAAATTCGTCGGATAAAATGTTGTTCGAACAATGATTCGAATAAATTCTGCGAATGAAATTGCATTCGAACAGCGATTCGAATAAATTCTTCGAATGAAATTGTATTCGAACAACGGATTCGAATATAATTGTATTCGAACAGTGATTCGAATGAAATTGCATTCGAACAGCGATTCGAATGAAATTGCATTCGAACAACGATTCGAATGAAATTGCATTCGGACAACGATTCGAATGAAATTGCATTCGGACAACGATTCGAATGAAATTGCATTCGAACAACGATTCCAATGAAACTGCATTCGAACAACGATTCGAATAAAATTGTATTCTAACAATATGTCTGATGAATTCGTCGAATAAATTCCGCAATTTTTATCCGTAACAAAATCAGCGACTGTTGCGCGCGTAACGTGCCGCAAATTGTAATCCGTAATGTTCTAAAATCGTTCGCGTTCAAGCTCGCGATATGAGAACGCATCGGTAGATCCCACGGGAGGCTTCGATAAAGATAAAGGGTCAAGGAATTTGGATTGGAGTGGCGAAGCGAGTGACCCGTTATAAATGCGCCGGAGTTGCCGCCGACGGTCGACCGACGATCGCATTAGGCTGCGGAATCTGTCGGGAGTTAATTCGACAAAACAAGCCGTGAGCTGATTACGGTTGCACTTATCCGAGATAAATCCTTCGCGCGGATCAAGCCGTACAAAGGCCGCGTCGAAATCTTGAAAAATCCTTAATTTTTTTTATCTTCTCGAAAACGGAAGCGGATAGCCGACAAATTACAGTAAATTCTCCCTAATCGATGCTCGGACTGAACACTAAAATCGACGATTTGCAAAGAGGGATACGATTACTATAATATACTTATAATATATATTATGTATTATATATTATTGTATATTAACATATAATATATTATATATTGTTATATATATTGTATAATATATATTATATA